TTTAAAATGTCTGTCTGTCTGTCTGTCTGTCTGATCTATCTGTCTGTCTCTCTGTTGATATCTATCATCTATCCATCATCTGTCTGTCTGTCTTTTTTAGCAATCTTCTGGGATTTAAAAAGGATGATTTGCACTGGCATTCAATTTTTCACCAGCTGCATGGGAGAGGCTACACAGCTGAAAGAAAAAATAAAACAAATAACAATAGATGGTTTATATGCATGATGGTAACTGCTGTCCTTTACTGAGAGGCTTGTAGACTCTTAAGAAGCTTGCAAACAGAGAGGCTCCCATTTTACAGAAGTAGAAGAGTCTGAGTTACACGTTGATTTGCCGAACTAATGCATACAAGTGGGCTCACAGATCATACTACGTCATGCTTCGCTTAACTGCTGCTTTCCAAATACACCGCAACTAATGGGGTTCACCTACCATACTAGGCCACAAACTACAATTTACAAGCCACAATGGCTGGTTTCACACAACAGACTTTATTTTTGGCTTGCAATGTTACGTAAATCCAGCCTATGAGCCCGTGAGAGTGAGAGAGAGGGAAAAACCCCTTTTGACAGAGGCAGTATGTTTTAAATGCAGAAAAGGCCTATTTGGACAAAGGTTTCAGGGTTTTGTAAAGCAATCTGGTAAATTCTGGATTAAGGATCACCTGGGAGTTTTGGTGCCTTGATGGGATAACCCAGAGGTAGCCCTGGCTGCTGTCCACCTCCAAGTCCTCCAAGTCCTGTAACATCAAGGAGAGGATGCACAGGGAAAGGTCACAAACTAACAATGACCGAACACATTTTCCTGCTCCACTTTGTAGCTGGTAATCTGCAGGGCTAATCTCTTCCTCAGCTATCCTAGAAGCAGGGTGTACACGTGGTGGATGCACAAATGCATCCCTCGTTTGTTTGTTTCTTTCGTTTTTCAAGCATCCAACCTACCAGGGATCCCAGCAAAGGCTCCGGCTCCGGCCCCTGAAAGAGCGGGGGAAAGCACGTTAGAAATGGCTTCTGACGCGCACAAAAAATTAGTGGTGTGAATATGCCAAGAGAAAAGGAATAAAAAAAACGTACTGGAGCTAGCATGCAGGATATTTCAAAACCTGCCTAAGTTGTAAAGGATTTTAAGATAGACGCTGTGTTTCTATTGATTCTTCATATTAATAAAATACTAACAACAGCAATTGGGACGAGAATTTCCAATGCTAAGCAATGTGATCATGAAGCGTGACGTCATGTGACTGTGCCACTTAGCGATGGAAATTCCAGCACTTCTGGTTGCCACTGTTAAGCGAATCACAGTGAGGATGTCACATGGTTGCCATTTGCGACCTCCTGCCGACTTCCCCACTGACTTTGCTTGTAGGAAGCCGGCAAAGAAGGTCACAAGTGGTAATCACGCGACCGTGGGACATTGCGATGTCATAATTACAAGTATGCCACCAATTGCCTGGATTGTGATCACATGACTGTGGGGATGCTGTGACTGACGTAAGTATGAGGGCTGGTCGTAACTACCACTCGTTCAGCACGGTCGTAAGTTCGAATAATTTTTTTGGTTAATAAGCCACCCTGAACTTCAAGTTCTTTTTAGAAATCAATACTGAGAGTCAAGTATTTGCAGGTATCATGTTGCACCCTCACACGTGCATCCATGCACATGCACACATTCAGGCACACATATCCATGCACACACACACACAGATAGAGGTAAGTAGATCACAATATAAATTAGAACAATGGTTTGTAAAGTGTGCTCTAGGGAGTCCTGAGGGTTCCTGAGACCCTTTCAGGGGATCTGCAAAGCCAAATAAATATTTTAAAAGTTCTCTGTTTTAATTTCTAATTTGGTAAATATTGATAGACATAACCCACATAAACCAAAGCTCTTTGGAGTCCTCAATCATTTTTAAGACTGTAAAGGGGTCCTGAGACCAACATGTTTGAGAACCACTGAATTAGAAGATCATAAAATCTACCTCTTGGGAACAAATCCTTGCCATAAACAATAACATTTGGGGTGGAGGTGCCACTTACCTGGGACTTTTTGTTTGACACCTGTTCCAGTTGGCACACCTGGCAAGACTCCTACACCAGGATAGCGGATCCCTGAGATTTACAGAAAGAGAAGTTTTTGTCTCACATGTTAAATGAGAAATATTCCATCATTATTCTTTGGGTTTCTTGAAATGTGCTCAATTTGCACCTGTGCATTGAACATCAACTTGCTGAGGGAAGGGTGGGATGGACTCGATGCAGACCATACTCACCTGTGCCAGGAAGTACACCTCCAGGGAAGACTCCTGGAATTCCAACACCTGCCAAACACGGAAGAGAGACTGTGATGCTGCCATTCTTCCTTCCCCTCTCACTTCCATGTCTTTCTCCCACTGGGGTATTATATTTAATTCAGAAGCCTAATTAGAAGGACTTCCTCACTCATTCTTGTAGCCATTTTAATGGTCTCAGCAGATGGCAGCACATAACTGATCTCGGAAGCGAAGCAGGATCAGCCTTGGTTTGGTTAATACTTTACTTGGATGGAGAACCACCCACAAATTTAGGATGTTGTCTTGGGAAGCTGAAATAACATCTCAGAAGAAAACCGTGGCAAACCACTTCTATAATGCTGAGGCGTTGTGAGTTAGAAAGCTCTGGGCAAGGATTTCAATTGGATGAGAGTCGAAGTCACTAGGTCAACTTTAGTTTCTACCAGGTCAAAAACATCTGCTAAACTGATTTTAGCCTCATTTCTTGAACACTTTCATTCTTGTTTGCCTGTTGCACAGAACTGTACAGCTTCCAAGCAAGCCCTAAAGCAGTTAGTCTCAACAAGCATTTTCCCCCTCTAAATTATCTGCTGGCTAGTTCCCCTACTTCTCTCTAAAATAGCAGGTCAAGACCACTTATACCAACACATTTTTGGTCCCAATTGTAATATGGCCTTTAAGGCTGCAATCCCTCCCCCATTAAATCCCCCCCCCATTAAAAATAACACAAAAAACAATAACAGCAAAAGTGTAAAAACCTCCAACGGTCACTGAGAACAAACCCAATCACACACAATAACATTTCACAGCCGTCTACCCCCCTGGCCCCCATGCCCTGGAGGGCCTCCAGGTCTTTAGCACTTTCCAAAAGGCCAGCACTGCGACAGAAAAGACTCGCTTCCTCAGTCCCATTAGAAGACATTCTTTAATTGAGGGAACCCAGAGTGGGTTCCTCCTGTTGGAACTAGTGGGATGCGGGAGGGACAGTCCTGTAAACAACCTGGCCCCATGTCATAAAGGCTTTGTAAGTGACAACCAGCACCTTGAATTCCATCCAGAAGCACAGAGCTAGTGCAGTTCATGGAGCAGAGGTGTAGCATGAACAAATTGAGATGTGCCCATAACAGCTCACACTGCTGCCTTCAGGACCATTTGCATTGCAGTAATTCACGTGGGAGATAACTAAGGCGTAGGTGATTGTGAGCAGTGGTCCAAGAAAGGGTACAACTGGCACACAAAGGAAGTTGTGCAAAAACTCTTCTGGCCATGGCTGCCATCTGCTCTTCAAGCAGGATCAGTACATCCAGGAGGACCCCAGATTGCATACCAGTTCTGTTTGTACGGAACCCCATCCAGAACTAAAGATGGAAAAACACCGGATCCAGGAGGCCCTAAAAACCCAAGCCACTCAAACTTGCTTGAGTTGGGCTGAAGCTAGGATTGCACAATACGTTTAACCAAGTCAGTTAATGGCTAGTTAATTTTATTGTACCTTGATATGTTTTGTGAACCCAGTCTGTTTAGCTAGTTTATGGTTCAGTATATTATGCAAACCCAGAGAATGGGTTAATTCAGTAGACAGGTTAAATATGTAGTGTGAAGCCAGCCACTTAGTTAGGAATAAGGCCCACTAAACTCAGTGAGACCACCTTTTATCCAAATACCAGTAAGATCATACTATTCAGGGGGTTTGTTTCTGATCCACTGAGCTTTGCTGATTGGTGTTCTATTTAGAGCTGTGTCCTTTTGGCCTCCTCTTACAATCTTTTGATGGAAAAAATGACTGCTTGTTACCTGCCACAAAAATCTACATGTTGGGAAAAATGGGTAAGTCAAGGTATTGTTATCCCTAAACTAAATGTATGTTGTTTTACACCAAAGCACTGTTCTGCTGTTTTGATAATGACGTTAGGTTCTTCTATCTGTTTGAAATGATCATTAGTTCCCCAGATGGACATGGGGCTGAAGAAATGTTTTAAATGAGAGACACAAAACATTGGTCATCTAGAGCCCACTGCGATTAGCCACCAAATGCCTATAAGCCAGGGAGCCAAAGATGATCCCAATGCTGTGCCTTTAGTTTGAATAGCCTCTTTCACTTACTCTCCAAGCCAATTAATGTGCTGTTAAAAACCAGAGGGCTCATCCTTAACTGAGCTGAAGTTTCCTGGAGCAACTGCTGACCTACCAGGGATTTTCCCAGGCTTGGCTCCAGCACCAGCTCCTCCAACACCTGTGGGAGCAAGAGAGACCGGTTGGAACAGCGCAAAAGCCTCACTCCAGCATAAAGATTTGTCAGATTTCTTGCTCTCAAATAAATGAAACACTGGCCCAAAGGGCAGGTTCAGACAGGAAGCATCGTCAAGTAATAGCGCAAAAGTGCTTTCTGTTGGACCATGCGGTCTTTGTGGGATTGCGCAAGTCGAGAATCAGGAAAAGTACTTCAAGGGTTAGCTAGAAAGGACTAATTTATTTTGGCCCAACCAATCAAAACATGGTGGGCCAGGGAGTAGAACTGAACAGACTGTGATTTCAATGGATATTTAATAGGCAATACTATTGTTCGTCGTTCTTTGATCTTTTTCATCCTCTCTTAAGATGAGCTTACAATAAAACTAATGGCAGTTTGCATAAGAATATTAAACAACTTTGTGCTTGGGCCTCTGTGGAGCAGGAAAGAGTAGCAAGTGATGGAACATGCAACCCTTGTGACTTATGTTCTTGCATCCAAGATCAAGCCAAAAGTAGGAACGGCGAGAGTCTGGACCATGACATAGCACCTCACTTTTCAACCTTTTTTTTGGTCCTTGAAGTTTGTATTGGGTGTCTGTGTCTTTGCAGGGTTTGAATAGGCAACTGCCCCAATCAGCGTTATGGAGAATGTTGAGGACAGCTTAGCCTTTCATCCCAGCTGTAGTAACAGGATATCGATGTCTTTTATTACTCTTCATTCAAGGGGCAATTTTTATGGTTGGATTGGGTTTCATGCCTCGAAAGTTTAAAAGTGATTCTCCCTTCCTCAGAGAGTGTTTAAGCCACTTCCTTTCACACAATACATTTAATCAGGCTTGCGTTTGCCAATCATGCTGCTGGATGAGCATTAACCTTGGTTAGGTGAATTTAGCCTGTTTGTGATTCAAGGTATTGTGTGAATTCAAAACAACATAAAGCGTGTTGTATAAACACAGCCAGTGCATGAGGAATGCCTACTACTCCCATCTGAGCAAAGGTAAGGATGATAGGCTGAGATGCAGGGGAAGAATTCAGGAACATGATATGGAGATTGCCATCACTGTGGCCTCATTTGTAAGCATTGATTATTAGATTCCTGAAATCCTTTTCAAAGAAGCCTTCTTAAAATGGCATAATTACCAAGATGGTGATGTTAATATGCCATATGCCTTCTGCCTAATATGCCATATGTCTTCTGTTTTAAAAGAAGTGAGATGGCTTTTCTGTGGTATCAGGATTATTTACACATAATAGCTAGCTTCAAGTAACATGCTTAACCAAGTCATTTTAAGTCCTAATGGTAGCTTA